GACAGTTTACAGTAAGTCATGGTAAGGAGGTGGGCAGAATGTATCTTTTAGAGGAATATTGTATTTTCCTTCTCAGAATATCCACCCCTAGCACTGTAGTTTACTGGTTTGCAGCCATGCAGCTTTGTACATCTGCCCACTTTTCTGAAATATTCAGATTAGTATATGTTCCCTTACTTTCTTCTAGGTCTTCTCTAAGCAGTCACTGTTTAACACTTTGGGACTCTGCAACATTTTAGGCTTTCTTACTTCTCCCCAAAGCTTCCTCCCAGTCGTGTGGATGCTTGTCTGTCATGTGTCTGACCTTCATGACAGGACAGCTTAAACAGCATGACCCTACCCCCCACAACACACACATACTCCTATTCTCCTCCAGGAAGCTGCTGAGATTTACAGCTTGCCTGCCATGGGTTTTTTTTTCCTTTTAAACTCTAATAAAATTGTCCTTGAGCTTCCATTTGAGTCTGTTCTTAAATTATTGATTAATTACACTAAGAGCTCCGAGAGGTGAATCCCAATCTCCCCTGGATCAATTTAAGACTGCACTTGGAACCCGCAGATCTATCTCACATCAGTGCACACAGTAGGTGCTAACTACAAGTCAGGAACCTCCAGCTGCAACCAACCTTCGGCCTAACCGTTCTACTTCCCAAAGACTGCTGGAAAGGAAGCAGTTGTGTTTCTTAATAGGTGAATTCCAGTTTGCATCCTGCTGTTAGGTCAGAGGACATTTACTTTCAGTTGGCATTTGTTTAGAGACATGCCAGAGCCTGGCCTGGTGCTGTTGTGTGTCCCCGTTATTCTCCACAGCCTATTCTGATGTGAAAACCCAGGCACACCTGCTTACCCTGTTAATCATCCCAGAAGGCCTGTCAGCGCCTTTACCAAACTCACCTCCATGTCCTGTACATTGTGAGACAGTATCTTTGATTCCACCTGAAACTAGAAATATCTAACACTAATCCTTTCATATATTAGTTAATAAATAAATGCCTGCATGTTAGTAAGCACAACTTCAAGCACAATAACTGGGAAAAAACACTAGAAAAAAGTGCTGATGTTGTCTAGACAGAACTAGACATAAGTGGTAAGTCAAAATTCTACTGAAAGGTGTTATGAATTCTGGGGAAATGTTCTATTGACCTCAAGGCACCTTACAGGTCTGTGACAAAAACTCCAAGTTCCAGTTCTTACAAGGAATGCCAGTACTTGAAAGAGAGGGAGGAAGAACTCTTGGGTGATACAAGAATGGGAATAAAGAGGGCAATAGTTGCTATGGTTGCTCTTTCCATAAATGTGAACTGAATTTTTAAGCACTTGGCATTATATTAACTTTTTCACACTGCGAGCTTAGCATCATGGACAGAATCAAGGCAGTTGATCCCTGTTATTGTGTACATAGCAAATCAGCCACAGCAAGGCAGGAGGAGTGGGGTGGCTAAGAGTCACCTTTGAGCCCCTGAGTACACTGCTGTTTTACTTCCCTCATCTCAGTCAGTACTCTGTAGCATCTACCAAGTGTGTCATGGATGGAAAAGACCATTTTCAATCTAAATCTTGTTAGAGATTAATAAGCAAACATTTTGTTGTTTATTATGCAATTTATCATGATGGAAAGTACATTGGACTCCTCAAGGCTAAATGCTGACACATTTGTTTATTCAGTGTTACGTAGAGAAAGTCATACTAATCTTTGTGAGAGAAAGTATGTAAAAGCAAGATTTAAATTACCTACTGAAAACTACAGGATTTATGTCTCTTGACACTCTCTGAAGATGTACATGTTTACTTTGAACATGTTTATCTTGCTAATATACGCTTGATGCAAACTTATTTTAAAAACAAAATTATAAAAACTAAAACTAAAATGAAACCTAACCTTCATTCCAGGAAACAAAACAGAATATAAACTTGTGAATTTGGGTTTGAACAGATCTGAAAACAAACCATTTTATTGACTAATTAAACATACTACATGTTTCTCAAGTGCCTGCAACCCATGCTGTGCTCTCCTGTAGGTACACAACGTCGAGTAAGGAGGAGACTAAAGATAGAAAATATGTTCTTAAGATTTTCGCAAAGACCAGCTGTCTTGTACTATTGGTGCAAATGTATGGGCCAACACCCCTCCTAACTCCAAAAGTTACCTGGGAAATATCTGCTGCCTTCCTTTATCAGAAACTATTCTGGCCACTAATCTATAAAGCTGCTCGCTTGCCAGCCTGTAATCTGTTGAACACTGGGACTACCCCAACAGCATCTCCACTTACACAGCAACTGCCACGGTAACTCATCAGTCTCTTAATGCTCTGGTTGTCTCTATTTGACTGGCCTGTGGCATATCTGTGGGCCATCATCTTGATTGCTAACTGATGTAGAAGGACCCAGTTCACTGTGGGGAATACTAACCCTAGGTGGGCTGTTATAGGTACCTATACGTGAAAGTTAGTTGAGGCCAGGGCATGAGCAATCAGCATTCCTCCATGATTTTGCCTTCAAAGTCCTTTCTTGACTTCTCTCAAGGATGGACTTTGACTTGGAAAGTGTAAGGGAAATAAAACTCCTTGCTGTCCTAAGTTGGTTTTTGACAAAATGTTTTATCACAGTAACGAGAAACAAATTTAAAATACTTAAAATGTTCTAACCACTCCTCTTAAGTTCTTTGCAAATATAAGCTCATTTTAGTTAGCATCGGCCTTTTGAAACATTAATCCCATTCATGTAGCTAGGGAGACCTAGAAGTGACATTAGAAAATATGGAGGTGTAACAAGAGGAATAAGAGGAAAGCAGCTGACTAGTGTTGTAGAATATTATTTTAAGGTGTGTTACATTTGTTTATGTTCTGCGATATTTAATGATGTAAAGAAGTGTTGCTTTTGCTTAGGCTGCATTTGTTTAACTCTGTGAAGCTGTGTTATTATGCCTGTCTAAAACACCTGAATGGTCTAATAAAGAGCTGAACAGCCAATAGCAAGGCAGGAGAAAGGATAGGCAGGACTAGCAGGTAGAGAGTATAAATAGAAGGAGAACTCTGAATAAAGAGGAGAAAGAATGAACAAGGAGAGGAAGATGTCAGGGTCCAGCTACCCTGCCACACCACCAGTCACAGAGTAAGAGTGAAAATAACATATACATAAGTTAAAAAGGGAAAGGTAGATGGGATAATTGAAGTTAATTTAATTTAAGAAAAGCTGGCTAGAAACAAGCCAAGGCATTTATAAGCAATAATAGGTGTCTCCGTATGAATTTATTTGCAAACTGGATAGTGAAACACCCGCCCCCCCCAAAAAAAAAACAAAGACCAAAAGAGTAATAAAATCATTTTAACACCCAACATGGGGCTGGAGTAAAAAAAATCCAACAATCTAGGTTTGCAGTGAATACCCTCCTACCAGTTAAGGCGGGGGATAGGTTTCCACTTAGTGCACTTAGCACATCTAACTGAAGGACAGTAGGCCCCTAGCGTGCTGTAACTGGAGGGAACCGTGCATAAGGGAAAGCAGCCAGAAAGCAATGAGCAGATCATTTTAGTTCTAAAAAGGTCAACAATAACGACACTGGCATGTCAGTCATTTTTCCACAGAGATGTATCATGGAGCAGTCGAGGAATTTCTACCACTTTCTATTCACTAGAATGAGATACTTTAAAAAGTAGATGGAAAAATGCAAAGTTTGTTTGCACAGTGCTGCTGATGATGAAAATTCAGCCACTATGAAAAACTGTTATGTGACTCCTGGAAAATTTAAACATGGAATTATAAGTTCTAGTAATTCCACTTTGAAAATGAAAATGAGTTCTCACATAATCACTTATACATGGATGTTCACAGTAGCTCTGCTCACAAGACCAAAAGGTAGAAAATAGCACATGTCTATCAACAGATAGACAAGACAATATCTAACCACAGGTAGGATGGAATTCAGCTAAAATACAAAATAAAACAGTCAAATACTACAATATGGATGGATTCTGTAAGAGGGATAAGTGAAAGAAGGGAATCATAAAAGAATACAGGAGCGTGGCTTCATTTCTGTGAACTACCTAGGACAGGGAAATTTCAGAAAGGCTGAAGATCATTGTTCCTAAGGCATGTAGGCAAAGCAATGGGGAGAAAGGCACCTACCCGGGGCTAGCACTATTGGGAACTAGGCAGCCGTGATGGCTGGACACTGTCAGCTTACTTTTGCCGACAATCACCAACTTTATGTCACTTGCACAATACACCCCAGAGACAGCTGTTTTCCTGGGTCAGGAGACTGGGTCCTAAGACAGCACCAATGCCCATCTGCATACCACAACCCCTAGCCAGCTCATCAGCACACGTTCCCACTCAATTCAGGCTCTCAACTCTTTCTGTACATTTTCATCTTCTGTTGTTCTTAAAGTGATGATGATGTTAAAAAAAATTTAATGTATTTCATTTACTAAGTGAATGTGTGTGTATGCGTATCAGTGGAGGTCATAGGACAACTTGCAGGAGTTTGTTCTTTTCTTCCATCATGTGGGGCCAAGAGATTGAACCTAAGATTGTCAGTCTTGGTGGCAAGTGTCTTTGCCCACTGAGCCAACCTACCTTCCCAACCCCAAATTGTCTAGTTCAATCTTCTATTATTAAAACAGTTTTGATCTAGGACCAATTATGTATATCATTTTCCCTATAAATATGTTTACACAATTATTAATCAGTAATGCCTTAAGGTATAATAAACACAATTTGAAAATTATGTAATAGATCATTCATTATCTTAAGGCTTCATCTCAATTTTCTATTTTCTGTTGAGTTTATATTTTTTTGTGTGTGTGTTTATTTTTCAAGACACTGTATAGCCCTATCTGGCTTTGAACTTGCCGCAATCCTCCTGACTTGGCATCCTGAGTGCTGTGACTACAAGCGTGGCCATCATGCCAAGTAGATTTACTGCTGATTACACACACAGTTTCTAAAGTACAACCAACACCTCCAACAACAACACCTGAACCCACTGGGATCACACATACTTGGCAAGTTGTTTCTCAGCATCTGCACACAGCTCCAGAAGCCCCATCAGCACAGCGGACACATCCATGTAAGGCTCCCACACAGTGAACCCTCGCCCAATCAGGTCAATGGCAGTTCTCCGGATGGTGCTGTGAGGAGGAAGCTTGGGACTTGGTGGCTGTAGCAGAAGAAATGTCAGTGCCTTACCTAAAAAAAGAAAAAAAAAATCAGAATATTAAGTATACTTTGAAAATATAAATATACTTCAATTTTTCCCAAAAGGGTTTGAACAATAAACCCCTAAGAGATTTCAAGCTTATACTTTGTTTAGCCCTATATTTTCAAGAGGAAAACTTAGGCTACATACAACATTTTACAGTATATTAAGTGCTTAATTATATAACAATTATATATAAATATATACTTCTATATTTAAATATGAGTGACCTAGCTCCTGATGCCCTATTCAAATCAGAATCACAAATTAATGATGGTTCAAATAGTGTAACCTTTTTATTGTATCTAACACAGGTAATGGGCAAACATGCCCATCTTTAGATGGACTCGTCTTTAAAGGCGTTATCAGTGGAGGGGCTACAGAAGGCACCATGTGAGATTTGAGGTTTGAGACATTTCTTTCCACATTCTGGTACACTTATAATACCATTCTTCACACAAGTTTATTATATAAATAATAGTAGCAAAACAGAATTTCTAAGTCTGATGTAGCCATCTAACTTTGGATCTGCATGTTCCCTTGTATACTGAAGGCTGAGCCTAGTGACAGGATGCTCACCAAAGCTCAGTGGCCATTAACTACAAAGGACCATTGACTTTAAAAGGCACCTTGACACTCAAAAGGGGAACCACTAGAAATCATGGGGATTTAACTAATTAATATATTCATTCATTAGGGTTTTTTTGTTTATTTTTGTTTTTTTGACAGATTCTCTGTGTGAGGCCCTGACTGTCTAAGAACTCACCATGTAGACCAGGCTGGCCTCAAAGGCACAGACATCTGCCTCTCTGCCTCCCAGGTGACGGAATTAAAGGCATATGTCATCACCTGAGGCTAAGAAAACTAATTTTGAAGAGCTTCTTTTGTTTGTTCTCCAAAGGAGAAGTTACAAAGCCGTTCTGGAATTGTAGCACAAGCAACCCACTGAGACAGGGCACGCTGGCATCAGGTACACTCTGAGGGAGAAGCAGGCTTTCCTAACCTTTAGAGACTGCCACTTCAGTTACTCACCGAGCCTCTGTATCCTTGTCTATGAAGAAGTGGCAATGATTGCTTTCTCTGATGAAAGGTACACGTGTGTACTGTGCTTATGCTACAGAATGGATTCCCAGCGAACTACTCTAGTAAGTGCTCAAAACAAGGCATGCTGGGTTCATAAAGAACATGATCAGTTAATACCCACTTTCCTTCCTTCCTTCCCTTATTATTGTGTGTGTGTGGATAACATCAGAGACAACTTCTGGGAGATGGTTCTCTCCTATTATGAGAGAGTTGGGAAGAAAATTCAAGTAAGCAGGCTTGGAAGCAAGAGCCTTTCCTGCTGAGTCATCTCACTGACCCGATGCACCCATTTTCTTAAAAGTGTATACCTGACACAAAAATTAACTACTTATTCTTAAATAGTCAACTACTGAGTAGAATGGCTTGAAATGGAGGTGAAAGGGAAAAGTTCTATTAGACTGAGTCTACGGCTGCATTCTGTATATGGTGATTCTGAACTTCTCAGTCACAGAACCTTTTAAATGAAATGCAAATACATGCAATGGAATTTTATTCAGTTATATAGAAAAATAAGATCATACATTTGTAAGAAAATGGATGGAAATGGCAAGCACATTAAGTGAAATAACTCAAATTCAGAAAAAAATTTCTCTTAGATTCTAATTTTTATGCATGTTTCTAGGGGTGTGGGTGGAGCTCATAAAACTAGAAAAGGAAGCATCAAAGTAGAAAAAGATGTTCTTGGGAGGCAGGGAGAGTAACAGATCACCTGTGACTTAAAAGAGAAGGGAGGCTAGCTCCTGCCTATAAAGCTTGACAACCTGAATTTGGCCCCTTGGCATAGGGAAGCTGTCCTGACACTGTCTGCATGCTGTGGTCTGGCAAGGCTCTGCTCCCATCCACACCACACCTCCACACAACAAACAAACAGCAGGGGCGCTATGGGGAAAGGAGGAAGACCAGCAGAGGGGAATTAGCAGGACAGAGAAAAGGATTGAGTCAAGAGCATCATCATCAACAACAACAAAAGAACACATGAAAGTACCACAACAAAATCAATACTTAAGAAAACTTGTTAAACAGACACACACACACACACACACACCTGGTATATACCAAATCATTTCCCCTAAAACACTACATACATAGACACAGCCATCAATTCTGTGTCAGAATGACAAAGCAGTCATGACCATGGGTTCACTACTCATACATAAAACTAAAAAAGTAAAGTATACTCAGGAGGTCTCTGAGGGAAAAAAAAAAGAATCTCCCTGAAAATACTTCATAAGGGAGTTATGAATTTACCCATGTTCAACCACATCAATGAACTAGTAAACCTTTTATGCTTTGGTTTCAGAACAAAGAATTAACATATTCCTTTTTAAAAAGTAGTCCACTATTCTTTATACTCTGGCCATGTCTTTCAAACATGTCTGTGCCATTTCCTCTTTCTGTTAACTGTGCCAGTCTCTTGAGGGCAGGAATGGTATTTCTTGTTCCCCTCTGCATCTTCCAGCTTCCACAGCACAGCACACACTGGTGCCTACCGTGGATCTCATATCTGCCTCTACTGCATGTGCATTCTGAAAGCAGTCCCTAATTACGGTAAGTCAGAATGCTGGTACAAAATGACAAGAAAACTGTCACCTTCCTGTTTGTTTTCAGGAAGTTGTAGAAGCGGCAGAGAAACCCATTCTGCTGTTCTCTGCAGACTTCCTTAAGCAACAGCAGGAAAGACTTCCAGTCTCAGGGGGGCTCCCTCAGGCAACAGGGAGTAAGTTTCCTAGATACAATGTTTTAAGCATTTCAGTGGTCAGCCCCTCTTACTGCAGGCTGCCACATGTTTGCTGAAGTTTGTCTATGTTGTGGGCTGATGTCCAATCAGGCATTGGTTCGAGAGGTTGGTTGGTTGGAGAGGCAGGGTTCACATTCAGCTGGTGGGAATGGATCATAGAGTTCCCTAGCATACTTGAGAAAGAGTCCTGAAGGTAGAAGAGATAGAGAAGAAGGATTCATGGGCCTTTCTGAGCACAGAAGTAAACTGCGGCAGTGGGTGTTTCGTTGTCCTTTGTGATTACCTCAGGTTTTTAGCTTTCATACTTGTCCCTGAATTTTATTTTATAATAGATGATAAATGAAATCAAATGTGATTCAATATGGGCCCCATTTGTAGGCAGAGTTTTTTCTGTCCTGCCAGTCAGCTCTATCCTACCACTTGGCACCCAAATAACCACATAGAGACTTCTTATTAATTATAAATGCTTGGCTGATAACTCAGGCTTATTACTAACTAGATCTTACATCTTAAATTAACCATATTTATCTATGGTCCACCACATGGTGGTACCTCTTTCCAGCATGGCATGTCTATTTCCTGCTTCCTCTGCATTTGGCTGGTGATTCTGTCCTTCTTCCTCCCAAGGTTCTCTCAGTCTGGCTCTCCCTCCTATGCTCTTCCTTCCTAGTTATTGGCCAGTTGGCACTTTATTAAACCAATGAGGGCAATACATATTCACAGTGTATAAAAGGATTATTCCACAGCATTTTTCCCTTGTCTAAATAAAAAGGAAGATTTTAACTTTAACATAGCAAAAGTATATATAACAAAAACAGTTATCAATTAAGAATTATAGTTACAATATCTAGTCTAATTGTATTTGGCAAAATTAGAGACAATACTCTATTATCTATCTTATCTTTGTCAGTCTGAAGTTTTATACCTAATTTGCCTTTTATCAAAACAAAAAACCTTTAATTTTTGTATTTAATCTTTAACTCCATAAAAGACCCCAGAACGGTATAATATTACCTAATAACAGGAACATCTGGCTGCCTAGACAGTCACCCAAAGTTAATTTAAGATATTAACAAATATAAGCTATCAGCTGAGCATTTATAGTTAATAAGTTCTGTGTGATTATTTGGGAGTTGCTTGGCAGGACAGAACTGACTGGTAGAAGAGAAGAACTCCACCTATACACATGAGTTCTAAGTGATGGACCTGGCTGCTCTCTAAGGGTCTCGATCTAGAGATGCTGAGGACAGCTTCCTCACAACTCAGACATATTCATTCTGAGAAAAACAACAACACAAACAAATAACAACAGCAAAACAATAAAAGACTGGCTACTTGGTATTTCCTATCACTGTTCTGGTGTGGTAGAAAGGGCAATCTGGAGGAGGTGACCACATGACCTTGAATGAAACGGCAGGGAGGAGAAACCAGCAAGGGTTTCTCAGAAGACTCTTATGCCCGCAGTGCACCATCAGAGTGCCTGTTCCTCTCATATGTGGTAGTGACCAGCCATGAATGATAAAGATGGTGCCTAATGTGAAACACAAGATCTCTGAGCACCATTGCCCATGCATCAATCATTCAATGACCTTCTGCAGTTTAAACTGTAGTCTCCAGATAACAAAGATTCCAACCATTATGCCAGGGCAAGTTTCACAGATCTGGGAACCCATGTGGAAGGCATCAAAAGATAAGAGAGAGAAATGGCTATCTCCACACATGGCTTTAAAGTCTATTAATAAGAAAATATTTTTTGAATTTTTTATGAGTTGTTTTAGAATTACAAAGACATACAAATGCCAAAATTCCACATCTGTACCAGAGAACTTATTCAAAACAACATACGTAAATCACAGACGTTACAAAGTTATACTGAATTAACTCTTCTGGTTTCAAGACATGTTGGTCAGTAAAGATGGTGAGAACTCTCCTGTGTACCAGGTTTTTTCTTTTGGACTACCAAATAGCTCCCAAAACATAACACAGAGACTTTTTATCAGTCATGAATGCTTGGTCTTAGTTTATGCTTGTTTCTGGCTAGCCTTTTTTATTTAACTTAAATTAACCTGTTTCTCTTCATCTACATTTGGCCTGGGGGCTTTCAACTTTCTTTCCTTCAGTATATATTACTTTCAGTACTTCTCATGTCTGTCTGGAAACTGCATGGCT